CTGTATGTTTGGGCCCATATAGCTTGCTGTTATTCAAACACAGATGGTTAGCAAAGATGTTTTTAATTCCTCCTCCCCACCCCCTGCTATTGATAATCCTTTCATGTGCTTTAGAAGTTGATTACCAAATCCAAAACAGAGTGTGCTCCAAAATCTGAATGGCAAATGGGCAGTAGAGATGAGGAGTCGTTGGTGATGGCGTTCAGCACCCCGTGAAAGAGTCTAAAGGGAAAGGACTGAGATGGTGAGGCGGGGATTGCCAGGGCCACGGGTGCCATTACATTGGCTTTCTGATACAGCTTGCTTGAAATTTTGGCCCGAGTCACTGAAGAGTTACACATCAATGCAGTTCACGTGTGGATGTGCGATGCTCAAGCTCAGATCACAGAGAGTTCCTGCAGCCGTCCCGTCCTTCCCTTTGGGCATGGAGGGAGTTAGTGCTTGTGTCGGATTTCCCGTCGAGAGATGTAGTTTCCGTGTGTATCCATGGTACTTAGCCAAAAAACCCTTATCTAGCTAGATGAAAAGAAAATGGAAGATACTTTTGGATTAAATTTGGGCAATATTTATAGAGAGATGGGCTTCAGCAGCCAACTCCGCTGTGTGAAAATAAGAACATACCGGAGCGGGAGCCTGCCTCTGTCCTGACTGTAACTTGACACAATTAATGTAGTTGCTTCTTGCACTGAACTTGACCACCATTTCACTTATAAGGCCTGCGATTCCTGTGGGCACAATGGCTGGATAAAGCAGCATTATAACTTTCAAGTACCTCCTCTGTTAGTGCTTGTTCTCTTCTGGGTAGTTCACCTGAAAATCACTTGGCAGGTATCCTAATCCTTAGTCCACTTGCTTGCTTTTCGCTCTAGCATAATAAACGCATTTGATGCATGCCTGCCTTCTTCTGTTTTGAAGATGATGATGGCCTTTACTGCCGTGGTTTGTGCCATTCTCTTATCCCTACCATGTTTCATGGAAAAGCAGTGATGGGGGAGGGAGAGAAGAGCAATGATTTCCTTCCTGAAGCCTCCTCTGGGCACTTCAGCTACAGGGAACTGAGCCTATAGCTGTGTTGGCAGCTGCTTACTGTTGCTACTGCCAAAAATGCAAGGGCTCAGCCTGCCACGTCTTTGTTTCAGTAGCATTTCCTTCCTCTCTTCCCAACGCAGATGCCAAATACAGCATTTGAGGAAAACATATGATGATCTGCCAAGGTTCATGCTTGCACGACGAGTGATACCATTCCTTCTAGAATAACTTAGAGGGGAGGTTGTCTTTCTAGTGTCTGTACTCCCTTTTTGAACACCCTGACCTGTCAGTTAGAAACAACTGTTAATGAAGGATGTTCCAATTTCTCTCCTTTCTCCACTCCCCCTTGCTTTTTTCTTGGAAAAAGGCTAGAAAGAAGGAGCATGTTAGGAAGCAGTTTTTCATGGTGTACTGTCACCAGTTATTATTTTCTTTTTAATGTTAAAAATTACTTAAATTTGTTCAGTATCAAAGAGAAGCTTGAAACTTCAAGAAATGAAAAGACTTTCCACATATATCATACTTTCCCAGATTATAAGGTCTTGTGGCTCATCGTACAGTCACGACTGCTGTCCTTCCATGGAAAGAGGTGATAGTATTTAACTATTTATTTTGTAGACTTCTAGTAAGATGCAAGTTGAACGTCTTAGTTTTGTTCCGTGTGGCTGCTGCTGATTTAGAAACAACAGGACCCTGTTAGCTTCAGGTAAGGCAGCAGGCTGTCCCCTGGCTGGGACTGGGAAGGGACTGGCTTGTCACACCGATGGCATCAGTGAGGCAAGTGCTGCTGGTGTGCTAACTGTCGTTGTGGGTTGGTAGAGGCAATGGGGAAGCTCTGGCACAGCACCGTTATCCCACTGCTGCTTAGGTTCTGGGAGCAGGAGCCTGTAATTACTACGAGCCTATGAACATAAAAGGAAATTGTCTTTTTTATCACCTGTCAAAACTGTGAATGTATTTAAAGCTCTGAATGTTAAACTTACAGTTATTGTAACCTCCTGTCTTGAAGCCTACTGCTGAGTCTCCAGGACCTTCTCAACATCTTTACGTCCCTGGAAGTTGTCCCTGTGTGACAACTTCCACGTGGTGCCAGCCAAACAAACCTCAGCACCTTTAATTGGTTTTCAGCCAGTGTTATCTGGCTTCTGCCAACAGCATGGCTGAAACGAACTACTGACAGAAAAACAATTGTGAGCACAGAAGTAGTGCTGGTCTTTGAGACTATTCAGCAAGAATTGGATAAAATTCTGGACTGTCTGTGGAATTTATCCCGTGTAGTGCTATGTCTTGCTCTACCATAGGTCTTCTGCTGTCAAGTTGGGTGTGTGACTGCTTCTGGATCATATGTTCCCGGTCTCCATCAGTGGGCCGAGCTGCATTAGTGATCCACTCTGCAATCAGACAAGTCTGTAGTGTCCTCGTAGGCTATTTCCCACCAAATAACGCAGATCTCTGGTCCGATTAAAAAACTGCACTAAATGTCATCTTCTGCTTATGCATCTGTTTTCTCACAGCAAAATTTCTTGATACATGGGAGCAACATGCATGACATTCAGAACACGAAACAGTAACTGAATGGCAGCTCTTGTCTGCAAAAATCTGTGGTGAAGCCATGGTAATGTATTGTCACAAATGAAGTTTGATTACAGCCATGTCAGAATACTATCAAAAGAAGAAGTGGTACTGTCTGTTTCCATGGAGATCCTTCCTGTTCCCTGGGGAGCCGAGGAATCGCACGGCATTGTGCAGCTATGCCAGCTGCAATTAGGCGAGCATGCTGCCTGAGAAATACCCGTGTGGATGCCCAGCAGTGACTGTGGGCAGCAGCAGCCGCACAGGCGTACGCTGCGCTGACGGAGCCTCTTTAAAACGCCGCTAATTTTCCCGTGTTCAGAGCTATGGCCGCGCGGCGAGTTGAGCTGGGTTGTAAGAACGCTTGAGCTCGGGCAGCGGGAGGGGCGGCATCGAGGGGGTGCCAGGGGTGTGCCAGGGAAGGTGACGGGTGAGGTACAAAGAGCGTATTAGCTTCCTGATGAGGGATATGTGCATAGGCACGACCAGCAAATACTTATTTCTTGGTTTGTGCACATCCCTACTTCTTGGTGTGAAAGAAGGGTGTTTTCTTGTTTCCCTGTTAGACCTTTGCTCAAATGTCCAAAGCAACTTGGCCTAGAAAGCCCAACTTACTACTGGTAGGGTTCTGTGAGTCAATTTGCTAATTCAGTCATTCTTTAAGTTAGGGCCAGGGAACTTTGATTTTTTTGATCAAATTTAAAATTGTTTTGCATTCATATTCACTTTTTTCCCTTTTTTTTTTTTTTAACATTGAAACTTGTGGATGTGCTGATTAAATTTAACACTACCTGTTGCTATATCAAAGCCTGAAATATATCTTAGGCTTGTATTTGGACAATTTCCTAACTTCTTTTGTTTAGTGAAAATATTTACATCTATTACAGCAACAGAAAGTGATGAATCGTTTGTTGCAGTAAATGCTTTGAATTTGCATGTGTTTATATCAAGCTATATTTGGATGAAGACGTTGGTGCCCTGAAGCACGTTTATACTCCTGTTTACCCCTCGCTACACCAAAGTATGTTCCAAGATGTTGAGCAACCAATCGCAAGTTTGAGAGGATTTTTTTTTTTTTTAATGTTTTTTTGGTGGCGGGGTAAAATCCTGACCAGATTCCTTGGCGTCTTCATAGAATTGCAGCAGCAAGTACTGGAATGGTCTTCCAAGCTGGTCAGAGTCATAGCTGATAACAGATTCATTTTGCATGTAGTAACTAAGCGAGGTCCCCTCAAGCTGTGTGGGAAGTGCAGTTGGCTGATGAGCAAAGGAATATTCATTTCCTTTTCCACCGAGGGCGCTGTTAAAGCAATCGCAGTTAGCAGCAATGCGCCAGTACGCTGCTCTGGAAATGGCAGCGTACTGCTCTGCTTGTCTTACTCCTCCAGAGGACATGGCATGATTTCCAAAAGGTGGTGTTTCCCTCAGCCTCGGCTTCCCAGGCTTGGAAGTGGAATATGCTGCTTTTCTGCGCCCATCTGCTGAAGACTGAGGAGTTGGGTGGGACGTTAACCAGTACAGTGATTTGAGAGAGCATTCCTTGAAGAAATCATTCTTGAATCAAACGAAAAATTATGCTGTCTTGAAAAAGCTGTATAGATCATATACCTTCTTTGAATCAGCTGCAGTGTAGATTTGTAAGCAACGTGCTCAGTGAGACTGGGGGCTTTTGGTCTTTGTTGCATTGGTTCCAAGATTCAAGTAACTCTCAAGTGACGACCTTCTTTTCGATGGAGAGCACAAACCTTTAAGCTAAAATCCTTAGGATTACATCATAGTTGTGGGGTGGAGGGAAATATATCACAGCGTGGAAATCAAGAGGTGTCCCAAAAGCAGAACTGAACTGGATTGACTAACTCGCCTTATAGCACTGGAGACTGATAGGAAAAAAACAGAAGGTCTCAGGTTCTGACATCTCACCAGCAATAAATTAGAGAGTGACAAATGCGATGATGATGCATGTTAGCTGTGAGTATCCATATGCTTGCTTGACCTGGTGACATTTGGGCAATTCATGTATGTATGATGTTATAGGGTCTGTTTCTGAAACACAGTGAACAGCCTCATCCATTTAAAAAAAGATTATTTCCTAATCTGTAGCAAGAAATACTAACAGTCTAAATGACTCTAAATGAACTAATTGCCATTAGATTATTCTGCTTGCTCTTGAGTAGGGTGAGGTTTTTTACTACGATATTTTAAGAACCCAATTTAGCTTTCTGTGCATATAACCATAAAATTACTTCTCTTTTAGCAAGATGGTAAGGTGTTCTCAATCACCTGTTGAAAAATGCGTGTAGGAACATGGTCATTTCCTGTTTGGAGCGATTCTTTGTAGGCCTGTTCTTCTGTTGCTGTTGAGAACCTGTTAATATTGAGGAACCTTGATAAAGGCATGTTTACAGGATTAGAGAGCATGGATTTCTTTTCACTCTTTAGACTGTATTTGTCGATAAATACCAATGTTTTTGCACATATCCAATTGCTTGACTCATGTTAACTCGCGCATGGAGATCACTGCTTCCATCTGCTGCTACTCTGCATGTCAGAGTAGCCACTCGAGTCCCAGGCACATCTGGAGAGAACAGCCTCGTGTGTCGAGTGTGTCGTATGCTCACGATAAATACCTTGTAAATATATCATGTGTTTGATAACTAAGTTAAAAGTGAATATCTACCTGTATAAGGGGTCTGCTACGCAGAGGCGCTGTGTGTCAGTCTGACTTGGAGGGGGACGAGCGCTCTTGGGCAGGACGTTAGGGGCTGTGGATATTGACCGGCAACAGACACTGGAATAACTGGGATAATTGCACTGTTCTCTCAATAAGTGATTGAATTACAGTTTGTGCTTTTGAAGGCCGAGTTATTGTCTTAGTAGGAAAAGTTTTACTTCAAAAGCATAGAGTTAAGCTGCACACCTTCAGTTTGGTTTTATAGCGCCGTCTGTTTCGTATGGAAGCTGCAGTGGGAGGCGTTGGCTCCGTGTCCCCGTGTCCTCAAACGGCGACTGAGCGTGGACGATCGCTTGGAGGATTTGTGAAGTGCAGTGGGACCTTTATTAGCACTGATAACTTCAATGCTTTTGCATTTGAGAGGTGACTAGAGAATTGATCTGAAATTAAGAAGTAATAATTAGGAGACAGCACTGAAGAATTTCTTCCTTCCCGCCAATGCATGCTTCTTTCTCATACATACACATATGCAGTTTTTCTTGTAAGAATATACGTTAAATGAATACGCTGTTTGGCTTGCGGCATGTTTTTTAGGGATGCTATGGTCAGATCTTGATACATGTACTTCCTACAAACTAAACAGGATTTCCTTGCAGATTCCAGTCGGAACAGATTTTGAGAAACTACAGGAATCATGGTTCTTGTAGTTCTGGGAGCAGGCAGAGTTACAAAGCATTTCAAGTGAATTCTGAAAAAAGCTGTTCTGACATGCTGCTGTCACGCCGGGCCGTCTGCAATCCACCCCGTAACTCTGCGTTTGTCACTTGTCTCTTGCAGGGATTTACCCCAGTACGGGCAGAAGCAGTGGCAATCCTATTTTGGGCGGACGTTTGACGTTTACACCAAACTCTGGAAGTTTCAACAGCAGCATCGGTAAGGGAATACTGTAGGCAGATGTGTTTTGTGGATTTAAGTGCAACTTTAATCTCTGATATGCTCAGGGGCCCCAGTTAAGATTGAGACTTCACTGTGTTGTTCAAGCGTGAAGGGAGGGAATAGTCACTTCCTGTAGTGCTCACAGTCTAATGAATTAAAATGTTGCAGAGTGTGCAGTGTGACTTTTTTAACAAAACCTTTTGCTCTACTTGAATGCATGTTGCTTTAATATATTGCCAAGGAGAAGCTGGGATGATGGCTTCTGCGGTGCAGAACCCATCTGGAATGGTGTGAAGCATCTTGCTGCAGCGTGGGCTCTGATCCTTCACACCTTACGTTGGCTGCGTAGTCTGAGTGTTCTCCAGGGAAGTTGTGACCTTTTGTTGTGTGTATTTTGTGCAACATACTTATGTCTAGCTCTCGCAAGTTTATGCAAGATAAACGGTCCTTGTTCTGGTGTGTGTATGCAGTGCTGTTGGCTCTGTGAGGGACTGCTACTGGGAATGCCACACCAGTAACGAAAGCTGAATTTGGCCCTACCATGGCTCTTTGTCTTGTCTGGTGTGATGTTCTGAGAAATTCTGGAATGCCTTTTAATCTTTCTTTTCTCTCTTGCGAAATAGACAAGTATTGGACAATCGGTATGGGTTGAAGCGGTGGCAAATTGGGGAAATTGCTTCCAAGATTGGGCAGCTCTATTACCATTATTAGTAAGTAAGCACAGAAAAGGATTCAGTAGGGGGATGCAGAGTTAGTGGCAGCCTCATTTTAAACGTCTGGATACTCAGTCAGGAGAAATGAATGTATCAGTTGCGTCACGATGCCTGTTTCTGAATGGGAAGGCCCTTGGGACTGCATGGGGGTGCTGCAGAGAAACGCACCTGCGAGCCCGGTACCACATTGCTAGTCATGTTGGTACTGCCTCAGGACTTACCCCCTGCCTCAAAAGTGTCTCCAAGTCTTCCATGCATGCTGCCTTTGACTCTTGTGCAAAAGCGTGGTTTACAAGTTTGGGAGCTTAATGTTCCTTTAAACTTTTTAATTAAGCTGTCACCTGCACGCGTGGGTACAACATGGGCAGATTCGATTGTTATCTGAAATGGAATTCAAGCTCTGCCATCCATGTTCCCAGCATGCACAAAGGATGAGAGTCTGGCTTTCAGACGACGTTACCTGAGGAGGGAGTTTTGCCATTGATGCGCAGGATGGCTGAGGGGGCAGGAAGGGGGGGTTTGGCATGGATTTCCGTTTGGAGCAGTGAGCTCATCCGATTCTTCCTTTGCAGCTTGCGCACTTCGGAAACCAGCTATCTCAATGAAGCTTTCTCCTTCTATTCAGCAATTAGGCAGAGGTCATACTACTCCCAAGTCAACAAAGAAGACAGGTATGTCTGAATGAATGCCTTTGACTTTTCAAGACGAGAATGGTTATGAAAGCAGCAAATAACTATAGACTGTACAAGCAAAACTGGGATAAAATTAGTGTTGTTGAAGGAAGTTTCGTTTAATCCTCCTGCCATGATTAAAAACCTCAGTATAAACAAGAGCTTTGTTGTATGACTGGAGGAATATTCTATTATCTGGTCCTGGCTAGAATGCTATTAGCCCCAGAGTTTTGTCATTTTGAGTCCTGAGCAGTATCAGTGCTGGGACCTAGTATGCTGTGGCTGGAAGATAGGTCAGTTGGGCTGAAGCAGAGGAACTTGTTTGATTCTAATCAGACTTTTCAGGGAACCATCAGTTAGTACTGCAGTAAAACAGCCCTCTGTAACTGGCTGGGACAAGGTCCAAGCGCTTCAGGGAACGTAACGTCTTCCTTTTAAGACACTATACTGAGAAAGGTACACTCAAAGCAGAACTGTGTTGTGGCAGTGCAGAAAATGTGCTGCCTGCCAAGAATATAGTCAGATAGAAGTAAGAACAGGTAGAGAACTCAGTTCTGGATCCTGATCTTACATTCTAGCCAGTAAACCCAGGTTCCCTCAGCAAAGTAAAGTTAAAGAAGAAATGATCTGAAGTCACCATCAAGATAAGTGCAGAAGGTTAGTTAGGGAGTTTCCTGCCAAGCATTCAGGGATCTCTGGACTTAAACTAATTGCATGTCTGTAGCCTTGCAGATGCCTAAATGCACCTGTGTGCCACAAAAAGATGAAAGCTTCCCTGCTGTGTTCTTCTGATATCTGTTGATCCTCTTACTTTCTTTCTTAAAAATCTCTCCATTTCAGTTTGAGTGATTGAGCTGTTTCAGACAAGGTAGAATTGACCAAGCATGTTTCTAGATGCTGTCAGGAGATTTTAGAAACGGGTGGGTAATTATGGGCTATGCCAACTTGCAGATCTCTAAGTTGACCCGGGTGGGTGAACTCTGAGCCAACTGTGATTATCATGGGATGCAGGGGGGTCAGATAGTCGCCAGGAACTGGCACTGAAGAGCCAGCTATTACCTCTGACTCCCATGCCTGTTCTCATGTAAGGAGGCTGTGGGGAGAGGGAGGCTGTGGTTTTCTTGATGTTTATTTTATGACCCTGTACTCAATTTTAAATAAACCTCTAAGCAGCCAGGTAGCTATTGATCTCCATATGAATTCGGTTAGAGCTCTTCATCTGTGTTCAGCCTTCCTCTGGTCTTAAACTCCTCCTCTCCCTTACCCCTGTTGCCTACCTGTGTTCTGTTTTAATCTCAAATTTGGCCGTGGTGTTTTTGTTGTTGTGTTTAGGCCGGAATTAGTGGTTAAGAAGCTGCGTTACTATGCAAGGTTCATAGTGGTTTGTCTCTTGCTCAACAAAATGGATGTTGTAAAGGACCTTGTAAAGGTAAGCGAAAATGAGGATAAAGGTGCTAAGGGATGGGAGGTTGCTGGTTATTCAGGGCTTTTCTCCTACTTAAGGAATCCATAATATAGTCTATTTCAGTTGAAATGTCACCTATTATATCTATGATGTTAGCTGCTGCTGCAGCACAGCTTTTCTTTTTTTTTTTTTTTTTCATTTAATTGATTGTGCTGTTGGATGCCACAGAAGGAAGGAATAACATGGCTATGGAAGGATTCAGTATGATGTGAACGTTTGACTAGAGAAAAACTTTACACATTTATATAGTTAGTTAGGAATAAAGTGTAAGGTGCATGTTATTAATCTGAAAATGTGGGGATCATCTGATAACTCTGAGTACAGTCTTTATTCCTCTAGTGGATTTAAGACATCGGTGGGATCTCCCCCAACAAGTCTTCACTGACACACTGTTGCTTGGAAAGCCAATGTCACCTAGCTTCATGTTGAGCTTATTTCTCTTCCCATCCAAACTGCTGTCTGTCCCATTTCCAGAACACATCCTGAATACATTTTGTACCTTCCATTGAAATTAGACCTTGCTAAATGATGTAGATACTACTCTGAAATTGGAGAGGCTGGATCTGCATATGCCTCTGCCGTTGGGAGTAGAGCACCGAAAGCCTGTAAACACAAGCCTTTAGGTACAACAAACTGAGTGCAGGCCAGTGTTGATTGTTGCTTTTCTAGTATGTCTGACATCGAACACAGTGAATATCTTCTGTGAATCAGACAATTAATAATGGCACGTTAAGCTCGAATGATTTGATAGCATTGTTTGAACACCAAGTAAAAATATTCCCATAGCTGCAGCCTAGATAGGGAGGTGCCCTTTAACTGCAACAAAGGGACAGCACGCTTCTCCTGGCAGCATATGCTTCCCAACCCCTCCAACAACCTTGCTGCAAGCAGCTTCTGGTATTGACAGTTTTGTGTAGGTTGCATTCCTGTCTTTGTGTCTAAGCTTGCTTGAACTGCTAGCTTAGCTTAGCTGCAGCTAAAAAAGCCATACCATTCACTTCCTCGGCGTATTTAAAGTTACTTATAAGCTGAAATTTGAGTCCTTGGTATCCATAGCTTATGGTAATAACCAGTGACATAGCTGTATGTGAGTGGGATAGTTATACTTAACTCCAGATATTTTTTGCATTTGGACCTACTTAAAAGACACTTTGCATTGCCAAAACTCCATGTAACAGTGGCATTCTGTCTCCTGAAAGAGCGCGTTTTGGCTGGCATGTTAGTCATAAGTGTGCTGCATATGTTCTCAAGGAATTTATTTTTTTTTTTATTCTTAAAGGCCAGCACAGCTAACCAAATTGTAATGTTACTGACTGCCTGTTAAGCTCTTGGTTTAAGAAGTGACTGTGTCTGACTTTGAACTTTTTACATCAGGAACTGTCAGATGAAATTGAAGACTACACTCATCGTTTTAATACTGAAGATCAGGTGGAGTGGAACCTGGTTCTTCAGGAAGTGGCAGCGTTTATTGAGGTGAGAATACCGTGCCCTTTTAGTTGTTATTCTAGAAGTAAAATTTTCTGACTTGTTCACCAAAGTGTTGCTGTATCACCACCTCTATGTAGTAAGCAGGTGTGCCACTAATCGCTGAAAGGTGCTCACGGTAGTGTAACAGTGACAGCCACTAAAGTGTCTGAAGGGTCAGATCTGGTCATGTCACGTGTCGAAGACAGAAGCATGAAGCTGGGATACGCTTGGTCACCTTACTGGGTTTGCCCTTGGTGTCCAGAAAATGGTGGAATTCAAAGCACAGCAGTGGAGAGACTGCCAACTCTAGTTCTTTACTTGTGGAAGCCAGCCCAATTTGCTGATGTTCTGATTGTGTTTCAAAGTGTTCTGTTGGAGTATTGGTCTATGACACTGGCACTGTGTAAGCAGTGTGTAACGGCAGACACGGTGTAAGCATGGCAGGAAACTGATAGGCTCTTAGCATAGCTGTAATGTGACCAACTTCTAAAGTTTGTTAAAGGAAAATAATTTTTATTCTGTCAAATGAGACAGAGTTCTGCTTTCCTCCTTTTGTACAAGATGTCACTAGGTAAGGCGAGTATTTATTTGAATATTGCCAAACTGGATGGCAGTGTTACCATTCGCTCATCTCCTTTGCTATTTATTTCTAGGAAGGGAAGGCGAACTAAAACAGTGCAGGGTTCTTCTGTATTGTAGGAATGTTTAGTTTATTCTGCGTGAATTTGTAAGGTTATTGATGACATTTGGTTCCTCGGGTGTAGAAAAGCTGAAGCAGAGTTCATGTCATTTGAGGAAGTGTGTTTTTCTATTTGCTGTACCTTCCTGTGCTTGTTGTACCATGTATTTGCTTGCTGTTGCTTTTGCAGGTGGTAAGACAGTACTCTGTAGCCTGCATACAAATATATGTTTGGCAAATTAATATTTGTACAGTTATTAAATGTTTACTGTAAGTGCCAAGACCTTTGGACTTCTCTCTGACTGCAAATCTGTACGTTTTCTTGAATTCCTGATTTCTTCTGGTTGCTTTTTTTAGGCAGACCCTGTCATGGTTTTAAATGATGACAACACCATTGTAATCACCTCTAACAGGCTTTCTGAAACAGGAGCTCCATTGCTAGAGCAGGGAATGATAGTGGGACAGCTTGCTCTTGCAGATGCACTGATTATTGGGAACTGCAACAACCAGGTAAAAGAAATTCGGAGGACTTGGGTTTGTATCTTTGGAGTTCGGAGTCCTTCCCCCTGTGATATCCCTTCTAATCATACAATAGAAATTCCAATAGATGTGAACATTAAAATATTTTGATTGTGATGTTTGCAGTGGCAGTGACAAGAAGAGGTTCTCAGAAAAAAGAGTTAAAAACGAAATATTAGCTATTAGACCTGTGGTACTGACCTCTCATTGCTTATATTCATCATGTCAATTAAGTGGGTACAATTGATTTTCATATACTGGATTGTTCTTAACAACATTCAAGCATGAGAGGCCTCTGGGATATGTCTAGAAAAAGCTTGACTTAGGCTTTCCCATGACATACTCCAGCTCGCAACAGGAAAGGGTTTTCGAAAGGCATTTGAGATCTTGTTTTTTAGATGATGATGATAGTGAAGTTGCACAGACTTCATGACTTCTCTCTAAGCTCTTTTTTTCAGGTAAGCAGGGGAGTTGCATCTGAACTACACTTTGTGTATCTTTTTCAGATTTTGTCTAAATTCATAGGACATAGCTGTTTCAGCACTTGATTTGTAAACACCCCAGAAAAGTCTGTAATTTATGAAGTAAGGGTCTGCACTACAGTGAACTGGCTTGGTAGAACAGTAATAAATAGACTTTGTCCTCTGTGAGCTCTGCTAAAAGTCATTCACAGGTCTTTCAGGGACCTGTCAGTGTCATCTTTGAATCTCTAGAGACAGAAAACAGTCTGTCTGGTATGCAGTTGAATCGCTTATGTGGATAATTCCGAAGAAATATTGCCTAATCTGTATCTAGCACAATAAACTGTATGACTCTCTTGCAGGTCAAGTTCAGTGAATTAACAATTGATATGTTCCGAATGCTACAAGCACTTGAAAGGGAACCAATGAATTTAGCATCACAAATGAACAAACCTGGAATGCAGGTAAGTTCCATTTCAGTGACAAACCAGGCAACATATCTTAACTGGAGTTGGTTTGTTCGTTGGTTTGTTTTAAACGGTTTTAAATACTTCCAGTATTGTCACTGTGCAAAGCTGGTGTAACTCTAACTAGAAGTTAGTGAAGAGGAGCTCAAACCTGTGGAGTTTGATCTGAGTAATGTCTTCCCCCCGCTTCTGTTTTTCTCCTTGGCAAACCTTCAATAGTGAAAAAATAGCAGAAACAAATATTTGGGCATAATTTCACAAACAGTTTACGTTGGTGTAGCCAAAGTGCTTCTGAAGGGCTCCCTGCCTGTCCTTAACCATATGCACTCACCCTTTCCTTTGTTTTCACTCGAGCAGTCATGCAGCCAGATAAGTTCATCAGCTTGCTAAGTCATCTGAAAGTCAAATATCTCCTTCAGAGAAAGCGTAAAAAATATTTTGTCTGGAGGCAAAAGGAAACGTGTAGATTTTTTTTAAGTTAATTGAGATGACGGGTGAATTTTTTCACTCTTTTCTTGGGTGATGCTTTAGAGAGTAAGAAAGATTTAGGTAAATTACAAAGTTTACAAATTTAAATAAGGGATAATATAAAGTTTTGGTTCAAATACTGTGCCTCTTGCTTTACAGTGTAGTAGGAAATGCAGCATGGGCAGACCATTTGTGTGGGAAGTATGTTGAAGATGAACATTCTAATAGATAGAAATTTAGAGGGTTGTGAAACTGCTTTGGCAATATACAGTTGTTGGATCTTTTTGTGTCGTTTTTTGTTTGTTTTTTTTTTTTTAACAGGAGTCAACGGAGAAACCAGCCAGACGGGAAAACCCCCATAAATATCTACTTTATAAACCAACTTTTAGCCAGCTATATACATTTTTAGCAGCATCATTTAAGGTTTGTGAAATTGGTGGATTTATTTGTAACAGAAAAATATCCAGATTGGTATGTGACACTGAATAAAACGTGATCGAGATAATCTTTTATACTTCAAGATAATGAAGCCGTTTTGGCCCTCTTAAAATGTTCAACATGATCTTCAGAGCAGATGGAGATACTACAGACATGTGTAATTTATATAATAAAGGCAAATCTGTTGATTGCTGTTAAGGGAAAGAAAAAACCTCATTTTAAGACAAAACCCCAGCTTGCTGTTTTAGAGCAGTTATATCACTGCTAAGCTACTGCCATCTTCAAAGTGGAGCTCGAACAACTCCCGTGCCAGCGGTCTCAGTGCCAGCTGGTGCATGGCAATACTATGGAAAGCATTGAGTTATGTGAGGTAATGTAATAGTTACAGATGATTTAATCTTATCCAGTAATTTTATTTGTGTGTGTGTAGGTACACACGCGTATATACAGACATTTATATTTATATATACAGACATATATATAAAAATAAGCGTTTCCTATACGAAGTTTATCTATTTCCTATATATATGTATTATATAGGAAATATTTCTTGAGATAAGAGATCTGGAGAACAGAAAAATCTTAAGAGTGTTCTTCTTCCTGTTGTGCCAAACACAATCCCGACTCAGGGAAGGTATGTCAAGAAACTGTTGCTCTTAAGCGCTGTGTACCTGGCAGGTCTCCAGTTCTGTGTCCCATTTGAATTCCCTTTCTCCTGCACATGCTATATTTTTATCTGCCTGACTTATTTAGTTACCCACTGCTGTCTTATGTAAGTAATCTATACATTTGTAGACTTTTAGTACAGTTGCTGTGGTTAATTTAATAAAGTTGCTGGGCTCATTATGCTTAATTATGACTGTACAAGTCAGCAACTTAGGATTTAGTAGTAAAACCAGAACATGGCTCCTATAAAGAAACAAGTTTCAATTTGTTTCCAGAAACAACTGTAAAGAAACAGCTGGTGAGGTGAAGGAAGTGCATCCTTATAAGAATTTTGGGTGCCTGCATGCTAAGCCTTTTGCAGAAATTAAAAGCATGTGTTGCCTCATGCAGACAGCCCATTAGAAAGGTGGAAAATAGATTTCTTTTACAGGTCTATACGGAAACCTGGATGTGCTGTGCTTGTTGGCCAGCTGGAAGGGTCAGGTAGAAGAGGCAGATGTTGCAGACTCTAGGGTATTTGGAAACAAAGATCTTCCTTTAGGATCTCAAATTGTTTGGGAGTTAGGGTCTGCGTGGATCTTGGCAGCTTTTGGTTTCCATATCTTGGAAAGCCTCAGATCTGGCTGGAGAGTAAGAGAGTCTGAGGAAGCGGAGGCTTTTCTAGGGCTGCTCGAACCTCTAATACCAGTCTAGGGGTCTGTGTGGAAAACAAGTAGGATCGTAGAATCAGTTCACCTTTTTGTCTGTGTACTTGCCTATTTGAAGGGGTGTACGTGGTAGGGAAGGGTACGTACACGTGGTAGGGAAGGGTACATACACATATGAAGAAGAAAGTGAAGAGAGGCCAGAAGCAGGAGTAGCACAATGTATTTGTGAAGGTGATGACTGAATATTAAAATAAACTTTTACATTTCTTCCCTTGCCACTCTTCTCTTTCTCTGAATTTCAGGAGCTGCCTGCAAACAGCGTACTGCTGATTTACTTGTCTGCCACGGGCGTGTTTCCATCAGGTCGTTCGGATAGTGAAGGTACAATAAAGGAATGCTCCCTGTCATGAACAGGGCTTGAATTCTCTTTATGTTCCAGGACAAGTGACCGAGAAAGATGTCACAAAGCTCCGTTTAAAAGACAAGTCAATTTTATTCTCCTGTCTGCTTAGTAAGATAGCCTTTTTTTCCCCCAAACAAAAGTTAATTCCTTGTGTTTTAATTAGTGTGCATTAACCTGAGACCTTTTCAAAGGACATACCCAGTTTTTGATGCATCTGAAGTATTAAAAGCTTCACCAGTTTTGAAGAGCACATGGCTCAGTCGATGCATCAGTGGAAAGTTAATAAAATAAATGGCACTTTGTGATTCTTTCCAAGCTCCAGTACTACAAGAACATACGGTCAGGAGATGGGTGGTGAAAGGGCTGAAGCGTCTGCAGGGACTGTTGAATTTGCACGCTTGTTAACCTGACAATTCAAGCCCTTCTCATGATTTTTAACAATTCCCCTTACCTCATCTTCCTGTTCTTTGCAAGCTAGCAGAATATTTGGATGCAGCTGCAATCTAAAAGCTGAAAACTGGTTGGCTGAAGTAAACACAGTCAAAAGATCTGTTTATATAATTTAAGGAAAAAAAAAAAGTTGTTAACATCCTAAATATTGTACACGCCTCATCTGTTTGAGACTTGCATTCCTTTATAAGATGCATGCCTTGTTCATCCCAATGCATGATTTATAGAGCTCTCAAAATGTTAAAGCGAAAAAAAAAAATCCCTGTCAGCTTTGGGTTGTGGCAGTGATTTTTTTTTTTTTAAATGCTTTTAACATTTTACTTTTTGCTGCAACTTGGTGATAGGTTCTAACTAAACCGTGTTCTTCAAAGCCTGTTGTGTCCACTTCACTGCATGTATTGTTTCAGCTTAATACCTTGCTGTAGAGGCATCCAGGCTCTGTCATCTGAAGAGCTGCGTAGTCAGACTTCAGTTGTCATGAAATGAATCCCATTGCAACAGCATTCTTTTAATAAGGTGTAGTCTGTACAGACCAAAAAGTGCTGCCTTATTAAAAGGGAGAGCAGCTGCAGGTCGCGCTGTTTGTCGCCCGTAAGCCGTTTGTGCTTGACAGATCATGCGAGACATTTGTAACAGAGCTAAATTAATGTATGTTCTGTTCCTGATTTTGTATTCTCAAAGCTTCCCTTAAAACGGAAAGGTGTCTTATGTATTGAAACCTGAAAAAAATGCATTTGGTGGCCAAATATGAGTCAACCAATTCTGCAAGTGTGTAACAGAATGAGGGAATCCTAGTACTTTATTTTACTAACGTTAGTGACATTTCATACCCATCTCAACAGCAGAAATGTTTTCTGCTATCTCTAGCACGTGGTTGTTTTTTTGTGTGTGTGTAGGATTTGCTGTTTTTTATAGCATTACTTTCATCTTTGCTTTCCATCAGACAGTTAGGCAGGTAGCTCACTTGTGCAAACTTAGCAGAATATTTCTTTAGCTTACCTCAGGAACACATGTCCAGGCTGTGTGCATTTAAAAATTGTGAATTCTGCGTTTGAAATCTTAAAAAATAAACATTTGCTGCAGATTTGAAATCTGATTAAAACTGTTCTGTCTTTTCTAGGAGTATTGAAAGCATATTAATTCTCTGAGCTCTCTCTCTCCCCTTTGCAGTGTTACAACTGCAGATGATAGTATTCTATCTGAGAGGCTACTGGGTTTTTGATTGATTTAGTCTTATATTTTGATCAAATTCTGAATCTAGCATATGCTAGCTCATACAGTAATTTTACAAAGGTATTGATTTTCCTGTACGAAACGTGTAATTGGTGTTAATATTTTTGCAATGTGGCGTCACAAGAGCCAATATTTGGATCTTTTTTATTATGTTTGTGGATAAATAGCAAATAAATAAATTAGAAGTTATGGAGTTGCATTGCTTGCTTCTATTTGATAGATGCTGAAACTACTGAAAATGCATAAAATTGAATACGTAGTTGGTAAAGTCCCCATATTCCTCCATCCTCTCCTTACAACTGCAGTAGTTCAGAGTCACGTAGTTTTCTGGGATTTGTGGTTGCTTCCTCCCTTCATGTATCAGTTAAATCCATAACAGAGGTGAGTTGCCTCTGCTAATTTTAGCTTTCTTTTTGCCATGTGTAGGTCCGTATGATTTCGGTGGTGTTCTGACAAACAGCAACCGGGACATTATAAACGGGGATGCTATCCACAAGCGAAACCAGTCTTACAAGGAGATGCACTGGTACGTTCCGTGTGTGTGACAACTGCAAATTCAGAAGAATTTGTCTTTAATAGAGTAAAATGCATCAAAGCCTCTTGAATTCAAACTCTTCAGTGCAGGACATCATAATGTAGATTAGCTTGAAGTTGAACAATTCGAAATTAATGTGCAACTCTAAATGATTTAACCACTCACAAAGTGTTACTATGACAATGTAAATTCTTTGTTACTGGAAGAATTCAAATTAATGGTGGATGACTTCTCAAGAAGATAAACATCTCTTGTTGGGAAAGAACTAATAAGCAGTCCAATAGCCCATATTGCAGAGAACACCACATTAGTTTTGCAGTTATTTTCTGAGGATGACTCTGAGGACCAGGGCACGGGGAACGTGCTTGCTTTTTCTCTGCTGCGTGTCTGAGCAATCTGTGCACTGTCCCAGCTTTGCAGCAATTCTAGCACTCTGTGAAGTGTCCCTTTCTCTTTCCAGTCTTCACCCTGGAGACCTGTACCCCTTCACGAGAAAGCCCCTGTTTATCATTGTGGACTCTTCAAACAGTGTCGCCTATAAGGTAAGGCTCTTGAAGGCAGCTACTCACACGGTAGGATACAGTGTCAACCCCTAGTTAGCTTACACTTTTAACGGGCTATTTTTTTAAACAGTTTGTATTCAGTCTTTCTTTTCTTTTGAGGTTGTGCATGCTAGTCAGGATCTGATCCTATGAATAGGAACAAGAAGGAGAAGCACATGAACAGCCGCTCATTGGAAAGTAATAAATCCTCCTGGAGGGAAAAAAGGTTCAAGATTTCCAAGGTCTCTGGTGGGAGGTTTATTTTTGTTATATACCAAAGACAAATCTTGGTGTGTGTGCATGGGGGAGGGAGATAACTAATCTACTTTTTTTTTTTCCAGTCGTCCAACACTCAGTTGCTTTTAAGCAACAGAAAGGAGTCAAAGCATTGAGCCCGATCTTACAAAACGCTGGTTGTCTGTGTCTGAAAAGTATCTGAACCAAGGAAATAACAAGACTCAAATTAGCATCCAGTGTTACTGTAGAGTGGTGTATGCTTGGACAATGAGCCTCCTTCCTAGGGTGCTATGGACTTACAGTAGAATTGCTCCATGGCACATCACCTTTGGGAATCTGCAATTCGGGTAATACGGAAGCAGGCGTTTTCAGTCTCAGTTGCCAGTTGCATCTGGATAGCATTACGACATTTATTTTGTTCATGAATGGGATATTAAGAATGTGCTATATCTGGGGAAAGTGCCACTTCCTTATGTCTTCCTTTTTATAGCTCCATTACGTGCAGCGAGAGCAGTGAGCGTTCGCAGCTGCGGTTAGCGGAGGAGTAGGGACGTCTAGTGGCCAGATGAACTTGTTCAGTATCCCCGGTCGGTGTCATCTGGTTTAGAGGCATTGGTTGGCCAACGAGAGGTACTAAATCAGGGTGATTCACAAGAGTTCTGTCCTGACCAGTGGAACTTTTACCTGACAGTCTTAAAAATGCTCTGTCCTCTCCATAGAGCTTTGGTTTGTTCTATTGTAATGCGTTTCAAAGGGCTTTTTAAATACTACTGCATTTAACTTCACCACGCTATATTTCAGTGCAAATCTGCTTTTTATTAAATTCTCTTCCCCATTTGAAGGGAGTGAAATACAATTAGAACGGTTTACTTGTCTATCTGAGAAAATGAAGACTTGGTAGGGATTTATTTGCCTCTGTTCTTTCCTGACATTCATTCCAGTATAACAACAGGAGGGGATTGGTTTTGTTTCAGTGTGAAAAGTGCAGCTTGGGTTTGAAGTTTGGTTTTTTTTTTGTTTTGCTGGGGGATTTTTCACCCCCTTCCTCTCCAGTAGAATTGCTGAAAGTTGTCAAGTGGATCAGCTCTGTAAGAGAGAGTGAGGGATTCCTGGTGATCCTTAACTCAAATACAGCTCTGGACATACCAGGGTTCTGAGGACAGTTTAGAGCAAAGGATCTTTTTTGAGGTGATGGATTCCCACGTGTAGATTTGTTGCTCTTGTGAGAATAACTGTCAAGTGTTTACAGTAGAACTTGCTCTTTGTGTTACATTTAAATGTGATAATTGAATTTTCTTTAGCTTTGCAGGTACACAGTAAGCAAAACCAGTAACTTCCATTTAGTTTCTTTTCATTTTTCTGCAGTGAACTGACCATCAGTAGTGTAAAATACACCAGTGCTCCATCTCTTAAGTGCACAGAGCAGCTGGTATGAGAGAAGTCCAACCCTACCTGTGTGTAAGGAGTATAGAAATGTGAGTTTTGGAAGTATTTCAGGATTATGGAAGTGGCTGCTAGGAGTTCTGACCCAGATCAGAATCATGTGGCCATAACTGTGAGGAATCTAAAAAGAGAATGAAGGAAAAAAATTAAAAAAAAGAGCGTGGACTCCTATTTAAAAAAATATATTCAGCATTTGAGAATGCACATTTACCGTGACAATCTATTGCCATTGAACCCAGGCAGATAGATGTGTGGGGATGGGTTTAGGTGTTTTGTTTTGTTTTCAGCTAAAGGTAGATGTCAGAGCTCTCAATCTCAGTATTTTCTAGCCTTTGTAAATCCCTGTTTGTTGTTCTGTGTGCTTACGTGCTTGGTTCCTTGTCACCAGAACATACTGATAGGGCTGTCCTGTGACTGTCCTCTGGGCGTGTTGTGAGATGCTTTGTAGACTCAAGCGGTGGCACAAACAAAGAGGTTCTGTGCAATTGTGTGAGAAGTTGAAGTCAGTGTGCTGACTTTTCCACATGGCTGCTCTGATCTTTTCCAATAGGACTGTAGCTATCCTGACATTTAAATGTCACTGCTAGCAATGCTGGCAGTCACAGCAACTGCTCACACATCTTTTTCTACAGCCCGTTTCTGCTCTTCTGCACACGTTCTCATCCTCTCCCTCTCTCTGGAGGGCTTAAATGGTGATGACTGAAAGTAAGTCCTGCCAGGAAGTGACTTGTCAGTTTGTCAAATCAGCAGCACTTGAACAGCTTCCTCCCCTATATATTTAGCTGAAAGTGGAAGATAACTGCAAATCAAGCATATCTACTTAAAGCCATGAATTTCTTTTCGACACTGACATTGAAATATAGATGGCTGTGTTCTTGAAGGTTACCACTATATACGTGGATGAAATAATACTTTAAAATCAGTATCTTTTTGTCTCTGCGGTTGTCTAAGATTATGGTCAAATGCAAAGTCTTAAATAAACCAAGCCAAAACAAACAAAAAATACGGCCAGTAAGAATGCAAGGCCTGTGTCAGTAATGCGGTATGAATACTCAGCTTAGTAAAGCTTACATGTGAAGTGACTTCTTCTGGAGATGACGAGTTCTTTTTTGGAAAGAGATGTATACGAGACACATTTTAAAAAGCAGTAATGCTTCTGCTGGAAAACTCGAATACCAAAGTAAAGAAAAGAATCAATTTTGAAAGAAAAATGTGTTTCACCCGTTTTGGATTTGTCCATATTCACTGAAGAGTAGGGCATTCCTTACCCAGAGCTGCACCGACATTGATACTGCAGGGTAGGTTTTTCTGGTGCATCTTGTTGTCCTCTGCTCAAGCCATGGCTGTAACGTGCTCCTCTTCCTTTGTGGCATGTCCTCCCACAGTGCTGTCTGTGGAAATCAGGAGCGGAGGTGGTGGCGGTGGTGAGTGAATCCTGGTGTTCCTTTGGGCTGTGATAGACAGTTGTGTCTGGGCAAGAGCTGAGACAGGTCCCTGGAAGCTGGAGAGTCTTTTTCTCCTGGATCTGTAGTTCACAGGTAGCGACTGGCATGAGCAGCTGTCTTCCAAAGAGCACGTTCCCTGTTAAACTGTGTAGTTTCTCCCTTTGCAGGACTTGCTAGCTATGTTGACTTAACCTCTGCTGGGATAGAGTCCAAAATGATCTCAGACACTGTCAGTGAGTAATACCTTCCCTGAGATATATGAGTGACCCTTGGTTTTGCTTTATAACTGTAGGCAGTGTTTAATTGCATTGTCATTTTCACTGATGGAGCGTGTGGAAACTCTGCTTTGGTCTCTAACTGGATGATACATGATGGAATTCAACATGTGAATCTGCTCATGCATCCCGAGCATACATGTTACGTGAGAACATTTAACCTGCCAGTGTGTATTCAGTTCAAATTGGCAATGTCTGGGGTGACTCCTTCCGGAGTTGTAAATTTCTTTATAGTACAGTTTTACTAATTACTGGGTTGGCCTGCAGTTACTGTCTGCACGGTCGTAGTCTTTGTTTCTTCATTAGAGACCAAACCTTAGCATCTAGCATTATAAATCTCCCTTAGGCCTTTAATGAAATAGAAGGGGGTTTAGGACTAGTCAGCACTCTGTCAGATGTGGGAAATGTTCTGGTTTGATTAGACTGGATTACTGTCTTTAGTATTTAACAGACTTGGATTAGATTAGCTCTGTGAAACTAATTTAATTGAAATATACAGTCCAGAAAGGAAGGTTCCATTTGAATTAAGCAGGAGCTGGAAGGAGTTAAAAAATGAGCTTTTTGATGATTCTACACAAGCAAATACTTCTGGCGATGTATACTTTACATTCGTAACCTGACAATTTTAAGAATATAATCTGCATAAATATGTGTTGCACTTGTGTGCCCTGGGTGCAGGCTTTGAACGCGTGCTCTAGGGCTTTGCAGGTTTTAAGAAAGCTGTTTTGGTGAGACATGTGGCAGACAGCTGATGAGGTTGTATAAACGCAATTATTTTTTTCCTTGGTGATAATTATTACCAGTCAGTATAGCTACCAGATAGACACACAGTAGGACTTTTACCGGGTAAATGTTGGTGAAACTGGACAAAGGCGTTATTTGAGGTTTCTGGAGACATTCTCGTGCAACAGGACACTTAAGCAATATTTAAGGTGCTGGTGGAAGGTGCATGAGTATTGTAAAATGAGGATTCAGTAGAGCAGATGTTAAGGTTATGACATATTTACTTTAAAGGAAACTTATTTTAAAACTTTCTCCACTGGGCTCTTCTGTTTCATCAGAAATAGTTCCTGCTGCTGGAAAGAAAAGGGGAAGTAAATCACTTTGGATAGTTCGGCTGGTATTGAAGAAAGACACTAGATCTATTCTGTCCTGAAAGCCAATGGCTTTCCTTTTCATTGCAGAACATGTTTTTTTTCAAGTAAGATATTACTGCATAAAGCCATATTTCTGTGAAATAATTAGTGTCTGCTATCAGTAGCAGTGAAACAAGAGAATTAAAATTCCTTTAAAATGTAACGGGTGATAGTCCTTCTGTGCTGTCATCTACAAGTAAGTCAACTTGTCAGCTGTATTGCCGATGCTGAGCTGTGTGACTGGCATTCGTGTGTTCTCTGTCATGGATAGTCTTTGTTTGTACCCTAAACCTGCTGGATATTCAAAAGCAAGCAAAGTGACCATCGATACTTCAAAATTCTTATCTGTTACAGAATTTCACAAACTTATTTGGACAACCACTGGTGTGCTTGCTGTCTCCAACAGCATATCCAAAAGCATTACAAGGTACGTGTAGTACTGCGTTTCCTAACAAGTTGCAGTTGCATCATAATATCTATCCCAAACAAATATAACTTAGATTCTTCAGGAAAAGACAGCTTTTCATCACTACATAATCCAGATCATACATAAATCAGATTAACATTCCCTGATCTAGTATAATAAAGTTTAGTTACTGTTTATGGCAAATAATTTTTTCTAACAATGATGATATTTCTACAGTTAGCTTCAAGTGCCAGGAGGCAAAGTCTCTCCTACACGGAGGCTCAGAAAATTGGCTGTCCAGTGCTGGGATGTTGATGATGGTGAGCACTTTAGGTAGCTTTATTAGTCCCAGAAAGTGAGCAGAGTTACTTAAGGTGTCAGGTTTTAAATGCCAGGTGTAGAGCAAAGTCTTCTCAGATCTTGTTCTGATTTTGGAAGGTAAGTTAAGGAAAACCATTGGCTTTGTACGCCCTGAGAAGGTGCGTTTGTAGTAGGAGCAGGCAATGAAACGTTATATTCTTCAGTCCTTGTGACTATTATAAAATACAAATCATTCCAGACTTGCTCATTGGAATTTGCCATGTTAAGGTGGTTATCCATCACAAAGACCCAGTACAGAGGTCTAGCTTAAGCCACATAGAGCAGTGTTAAGCAAGTGTCATGAGAGAATGTGCAAGAAGTGGAAGCTTCTCCTTTGTTTTGAAATAATTCCTGTTATCTAGCTGAAACTTGAGTAAAAAATAAGTACTGTAATAGTGAATCCTGTTTAAACAGAAACTCTGAAAAATAGAACTAACTTTATAAAATACTGGATGCTTATATTGTGTTTCATGGACTAGTCAGAAAAGTCTTGCTCTAGTTCTGAGGGGGTGCTACACTGTGCACTAGAGCACTCAGCTGAACCTGACTGAGCCCCTCTGCCAGGATGGTGTCACACCATGCATGCTGGGTGCCCTCGTCCTGAAAGAAAACCCCAAATGCACCAGAACAAGGCAGTAATCCTTGCGGATGAGGAAGTGGCCTTACTGTTTGGGCACATGATCTTACGTGCATCACCTTTCTTCTCGACTTCCCAGTTGACTGGGATGAAGCTCGGACCTCTGTGTATCATGTTGAACTGCACGGAGTAAATTGGCTTTAGGATATTATTATGCCCAACAAAAGGACAACTAGGTAGACTATAGGTTCAACTGGCTGGTTTTTTGAATAGAATAAGAATGTCCATGTTTAATACTTCTCTGTAGGATTTATAATCAGTATCTTCTATTGGTTGTTTCAGTTATGACTTTTGCATTCGAGTTATGTGCTCAGAATGAAGACATAGGCCTCCCACAGTTAATGAGCTAATCTCATTTCTCTTGGTGTTAATGCACATCTCCAGTAAGCCTTTATTGCTAGTCACTGCATCCTCTGGAGAATAGACCTGCCACAGAGGAGAGAAGGTGTAACTAACACAAGGGAGTAGTTCCTCTGTTACAGAATTTAGTGGGTGAGCGACTTCGTTCTGTGGCAGGGACAGCTTTTCTGTTTCACGTGCCAAATGCATCTCTTTGTCTATTGCTTTATTTTTTTTTAGACCAGTCGCAGCGGGGTAGCCTCTTCACACTCTTTAAAAAAGCATTCCTGTTTGTCTCTGGATTGTCAAGCATGCGCAGAGGACTGTGGGAGAAGTGCCAAGATTACCTTAGAAAAATCAACCGAGATATTGCCCAGCTGCTGACCCACTCCCGATCCATAGGTACGTGCCCAAAGATGCACAGCTGAACCATGCAACTTAAGCAGATGCTGGTTTTCTTGCACAGCCTTTCCAAGGGACAGAATAGTGAATAAGGGGAATGCACAAGCATTCGTAGTGATTTCCTCCAAGTCTCCTTTTTTTTTCTTTTTTTTCTTTTTTTTTTCACTTTTTTTTCCCCCAAGCCTTGCTAAACTGAGTTTTCTTTGCCTTCTCTACAGATCAGTCCTTTCTTCAGTTTTTTGGGGATGAATTTCTTCGCTTGCTTCTAACAAGATTTATCTTCTGTTCAGCTACTATGAGGATGCACAAAATATTCCGGGTATGCAGGGATGTCTGTCCCTTTGTGAGAACAACAATCCAGTGCATATAGAACTGCACTGCCTCGGGATGGAAGAGTCTTAGGGCTGAGCTTATCCCTGTGACTTCAGAAAGATAACTGATGCTCACATGCTAGTGCCTACAGCTGGTATTGAATCTCTGCCTTTGTATCACTCCTAAAGTATGAAGCTTTTGCCTTGCTGAAGCCTTATTCTTCTGCATAAGTAGCAGACACACTCTAGTTCATTTATGTCACTCTGAACAACCCTGTCTGCTAGAAAAATTCCTCTTAATAATTCAAGATTATTATTTCTACACAACTAAAAAGGTGTAGAACAAGAATGTAAAAGAAAGTGAGGAGGAGTGGGACGTTATTGCTGGAATGTATCCTAGTGTGAATGGATTTCGAAAGGTCTTTGAAGTGTAAATTAATAAGCTAAACAGGAAGATGGTATTTTCCCTCTCTGTTGGTTAATGCTAGGCCAACAGTGAAGTCTGCTTCCAGATCTAAACCATTTTATATATGTGAGTGTTGGCATATAAACTGCCTGATCCATTTTAAACACTGCAGAAAAAAACAGAACTTGAACACTGAAAGGTACAGCATTCATCTTGTCCAACTGCAGACCTCTAGTGGCTTTCTAAGCCTAAGTTAGCTACCTAGGCTTCTTTGGCATCAGGGAAAAGAAGCAGATCTTCTGCTAGTGGGGACAGATTTGCTCCCAGTGTCTTAGATATCCGTTTTAGGATGAGATGAATCTCCCACTGGAGATGCTTACATGTCTATAATTTCAAGAAATTAATTTCTCCAGCCTAGTAGGTAAGTATGTGGAAGTCTTTCTGTCTTTTTTGGGTGTTTTTTTTTCTCTTTTGTTTGCAAGGCTTCTGTGAACATATTATTAACCATCTTAGATGAATGGGCATTTGTATTGCCACTATGATTATCTGAGTCAATGGAAAGAGGAAACTGAAAATCCTAGAATATTTTCTCTCTATGTGGCATGCTAAACAGATCAGGATACCTCTTAGGTGAAATTGGCCTTTTGCAGTCTTCTTTGTAAAGGGTGTAAAAATAAATGAATGTCTGATTCTCTTTGTTTTCACTGTCATCTAGCAGGAGACCCGAAATTATCCAGAATCTTATCCTCAGCTGCCAAGAGATGAAACGGTGGAGAACCCTCACCTCCAAAAGCACATTTTGGAGCTGGCTTCCATACTGGATGTTAGGAATGTTTTCCTGGAAAACACCCTCGATGACTATTGAAAGAAACTGTCTTACTGCAAAGGGGTTTCCCTGGCCACAGATTTTGAATGGTGCAGTTTTATAATGTGAAAATCATAAAGGAAGTACTTGATTTTATTTTTAAATTTAGGACCATTATTTTAAAAAGTAAAAATAAACAGCTGTTAGTTTAGCTGTTCCATTCTTTATGGGGTCAATTTTATAAGCAGAAGTTTTCATGTCTTTTAAATGTTAAACGAAAGAATCACTAGAGGTTTATTTCTGGTCTTGTGGCTATCAACCACATTTCCAACAGCTGATCCTAAGCATAGAAGTATTATTGGTTACCTTTAGCCCACATTTGTGGAAATCCTTTATTTTTATACAATTTTAAGAAATTGGAAAAAAAAATCAATAGAAAAACAATATTTTATCCCCAAAGAGTCTGGATTTGAAACGGTAAAGATGGACCCACACAGTGCAAACCAACAATAGCAATAAAAGAGAGTCCTTCATAACAAATATATTTTTTCAGTCTTAGGCAAGTAAGTAGCCAAAACTGTGGACAATTAAATTGCATTTGGAGCAGTGGGGTTGAAATGAAGTTGTAAAGATACTTAATGCTCCCTATAAATTTGACACAGCAATTTTATGTGTGAACTTGGTTCTGCTGGCCAAGGACACAATGCCACTCTGCCCGCTTGGTGGGGTGGGTGGTTAGCAGACCAACAAATGACAGAACTAAGGAAGCTGGCCCCCATCTCTCACTGTAATATGAGTCATCTTGCCATTTGGATTGCTGCCACCATTTTCCAGGAGGAGGGGGCATTCTTCATTTTGAGGTACTAGACAGAAATTCTTACATTTCCAGCAGGTGTTATCCCTCCTTTCCGTGTGTGGATGGAATGTGTGGCTCCCACAGCGTTACCAGTCCCTGACAGGAGCTGAAAGAACATCCCATATAGTGCTGAATACGAGCCCTTCCTATTGCTCGTTTGTCTGACCCATCTGTGCCGGATCCCGGTGCCCTAGCAGAGATGCTGATGCTCTTCTCGCAGGTTAAACAAAGTGGGTGCTGCCATAAAGCCCTGTTAATGTTTTGCATGCCCACCATTGCACCTCAGTCCTATCTTTGAACCAGTAAAACAGGTTGCAACTCTTGCAACTCCTGACAGTGAAGGTGTGAGCAAGGAGGAGGAAACGAAAATATCTTAAACTATTAAATGAAAAAGTCCGCTGTCACTGTTCCATGGGCTGCTAGAAAAGTGAAAGGACAAGTCTGATCAGTGCTTTTATGTTGAACCCCAGCCATGCCTTTGTTTTTAGGTGAAAAAAATGCAGAACTTGGCGACTGCCGCAGTCTCACGGCAGGCCTGTTTGCAGTGCCATCATACAAGGTATGATCTAGTCAGCTGGAATAGCGACGGGCGGCAGATCAGCACTGATGGACCTCATTCCGCTGAGGAGAGCGCAGCATGGAACAGCACGAATTGCTGGAGTGTAGCTGAGAAGTTTGCATGAAGGTTCTTTGTCGCTGGGCTGAAGCTTATGCCATCCGTTCTCTAATTTCCCAAGTGTAAAAAATTCTGTGAATCTCGTGTTTGTTCTAAGCAGTCTTGAAGCTGGTATATTGAGCCCCCCACCACTTGGTGCTGCTCCTCTTTGGACTGTGGCAGGACTTCCTTACCTGGGATGTGGAGTTTATTTCAAAGAGTGTGTGTTTGTGTGTGTGCATGTGTGTTCTAGGCGTTTGTGTGTATATGTACAATACGCATACATCTACTGGCTGGTGTAAATTGTAAATATGTATATATGTATAGGTACTTGTATATGTATTAAAAAGAATGAAACAGTCCAATGTCTATATACAAAATTTATATATACACACATACGCCATTTTGGGTGCATTCCACAAGGTGTTGCAGATCATTTGTGGTTGTAGTAAACGTTATGGCTCTTCTGCTGTTGTAATTTGATGTTTCCAGGGACTTGGACCTGAAAGTTATTCATCACTGATTTCAGGTACAGGAGGCCTTAGATAGCCGGGGGAACGAGTCCTCCTGCATGTATTCCAGTGATCAGATTCCGGATTTCTTAACGGTGCAGCTGACGATCCGCCTTTCTTGGTGGTAGGAGGTCCCCAGTTATTAAAACATGGGATTGTAACTAGAAGATGAAGATGCAGAAAGCCTTTAATGCAGCAGCAAGTGAGAGACGGGTTATCTGTTGCCCTGCCTGCTGTTCCTCCACCAGCAGTGTTCAACTCGCATGGAAAAGGGGAATTTAGTTTTCCCCAGCTCACTGGCTTCCAACCAAATGCTTTTGTTTTGCTTTAGCTTTTGCTTTGATGAAGCTATTCTCATTTTGGTTCCATATATCTGGAGAAGAGTATGCTATTTCTAAGCAGAGGAGTGATGATGATTCCATTAGCGTGGGCTGGTGAGCCTCTGTGGGATGTTGCTGGTTAACTGACTGGGAAAGCCTCGGCAGTCCCAGTCTTCATCCTAGCTCGGCTGAAGCGAGGACTCGTTGCTCGTGATATGAGAGGCTTCTAATCCACTTTGCAGCCCTAAGAAGAGGTTCTGTTGGCTTTTTACCAAGGTAGCTCTCATCAGAGGAGGATGCACTTTTTTAAAAACAGAACAAAAAACCTGAAGAAGCTAGAATGTAGGAGGAGAACGTAAGGTCTTGAAAATTAGTTCAGAAGTTGAATTTATCAGCGATGACTGTCCAAGTCAAAAATTCATTCATGAGGTCCCTCATTCTCTTCTTACCTACTGATTTTGGTTCAGAAGGTAAGCTGCTGGCAGGGATATTCAAAGAGAAAGATTTCATTCCTGTCGTGTCGGTAGGAGTACAGAATTGTACTTGGTAAGCGAAAGGCTGATACCCTCTGTCTGCTCTAGCCGTAGGTAGGATGGGTCTCTGGTCTTGGATTTTGAGCCAATCCTCTCCCTTCCCACCCAAACCAATTGCATTCAAGATGAAAATATTGATATTTTCCCCTCCAAGTAAAAGCTTGTCTTGTTTGAATTTACTAAGTCATTCTAAACCTGTGCTACCGTGTGCTGTGTGCTGTGGTCGTAGGTACCTTCTCGATGTATGCTTGTATGTACTGAAGCAAAATTTGGTTTATGTATCTAGCAGTCCTCACTGTGGAAGCAAAGCAAAGACTGAACCACTTTTAAGTGAGAAGAGAACAAATCCTTTTCTTCTCAGGCCTAATGCCTTCCCTCGTCTTGCTCTCCCTTTCTCCATATATCTTTATTGCTTATGTTAGTGGAGAAGACTTGCCACCACCAGGCAATACTGAATTAAAGGGGTAAAGTCTGTAATACAGCGAGAGGAGAGTGTCAACTGGACTGAACGTGTCCTTACTGGACTACTTCTGCCTAGCTCCCAACTTACTGCAACTGAGATGTTCAAATGAATCCTCCTCCCACAGTAGGCACCTCTGTTTGTACTCTGTTCAAACTGGCTTTAGAACCCCTAGCCAAAGTTACTGCTGTTGCCTTTTGTTTTTTCCCCATTGAGTCCTCAAAATAACAATGGAAGGGGAATACAGGGTTATGAGTCTTTAGTGCTCTGGTGTTTTAATTGCTCTTGGGATGTGATGTGTCATTTTGCTTCTAGCACAAGCTAAATGGAGCACCAACTTCTGTGAGCTGTGCAAACTGGACTTGCTCCCTGGAGTGCTTTCTTGAGAAGTTTCAGAATGCTTTGTTTGGGTAGTTCATCAAAATAACATCTGTCAAGTCATGACTTAACTAAACACCTCAAGAGTATTCCCCAAGGAGATGTGCAGAGATGTCTTTTAAGGATCGTAGGAAATAGATGGGGAGGAGAGGAAATCAGGCTTCAAATAATGATCTTCAAAAGCTACAACTTCCGTAGCTCTGGTCAGGCTTCTCCTCGAAAGACGGGATGAAAGCACGGCTCCAAGATCCATCCGTGGCATGCTGTTGTGAAGCACCTCCCCTGCCCTGCTGCCTTCCTTGTGCTGTAACTCCATGCTGTGCTTCCAGTCTGCTTTTTCCTGAAAAAGCTAAAAAGCTTGGAATCTGTCTGAACAACTTTTTTGTCTTGAAGCGTCCTTTGTAAAAGCTTTATCTATGTTAGATTCTTCAGTAGCTGTTCTGACTGCCGATCACCACCGACAGCGGTGGCAGAGCCTTCGTTTAGTCATGCCCGTTCCACGGGAAGTGGCTGCCCGGTGTCGGTAGCTGATTCGTGGTGGCTGCTGCTGCTCCTGGCACCGAGGGAGCTCCGCAGGCAGCAACAGCAAGAGTGATCTTACCAACAAGGGTGAAAAATCTGACGCGCAGAGCTGAGAGCTGCTCGCTGCGACTTGGTGACACTAGAGCAGGCGCAGCCAGCCCCCAGGCGAGGGGTGCTGGCACGGCGGGCAGAGGCAAAAACCTCCGGGGAGGAGAGATTGTACATTCCTGAGGTGGCTCTCTTACGTTTTTAGTACTTTTGACTTTTCGAGCAATACTGTTTCTGTGACCAAATGTATTGCAAGTGCTTTGAAGATCTGAAAGTCCACAAGCAGCCGGGAGGAGCACATCAGACATGCACACCTGCTTGAGACTTAGTGCTGGAAGCCAGCTGCGCTTTCTTCCCCTCCCAGCTTACTGTGCCCGGACAGACGCGATTTAGTTCAAGATTTCTGAATTTGACAGATCTTTTGGAGCGTTACGGAGTGTCTCTGCGTTCCTATTGACTTATTAATGTGCCAGCCGCCCAGATGCACGTGTAAATGTTTCGCTCTGCAGAGATGCTGGTTCCGTTGGCATTGAGAGCAGACTCCAGTCCGGCGCCAGGGAGCTCCCTGGGCAGCGCAGGTGGCACCAGGTCTAACAGCAGCAGCTGTTCCTCCGAGAGTAAAAGCCTGTTGTGAGCATCTGCCCCGCTGACTTTGCAGATTTCTTTCGGCACATGTTTATTATCACTTCTCAGTTGCAAGGGGCTTGTTAGGAGCGGGATTTGGCCCCACGCAGGCTAAAAAGCACAAGTTGCTTCTGCCCTGGCCACGGCTCAGTGAGGACAAGGGGAAGGCAGGTGAGATGGAGGGAGAGTTCTGGAGCGGCAGAGGACCTGTGCCTCGGGCCGGCCGCGGAGGTCAACGGAGCGTTTTGCCTCTCTGAGAATCGGATTATTTATTACCAAAAGCAATTTTATAGTGAGTTGGTTTAAAGTTATTTTACAGCCATGTGCCTGTATATCGTATTTTGGTAAAAACAGATATTTTACTTAATATAGAGATGTATAAATAAACTTTTTTGGAGCAAACAGACGTTTTTTGCAAGGGATCTGTAAATCGCCAAAGCATTGTAATCCCGGAAACTTCTGCCATTGTTCTTTGGTGTCTGTTGGCCTC